ATTTTTTTAAAATTATTTTTTTTTTTTACCTTTTTACTGGAGCTCACATAAACGAATATTATTGTCAAAGGCACCTAAAGCCCGACACAATACGAGAAAAATATTGGAATTGTTCTCAAGTTTTGGGGCACTTTTCAAACACTCTTTATTTGAGCTCAAAAATAAGATCACTCACATCAAAAACCCGTTGATCAATCACAACTGCCAAACGCTCCGCATCAATCGGATTTTAGGATGCAACTGAATAATGGCGTCGGGTAGGAAGTTCAACGTGGTATATTAAAGGTAGCCACATACGTTAGTGTTGAGATTAGCATGGGTACCCCACCCCGTCTTACCTCATGGCCCCATCTTGTCCCTAGTTCCCCTACAGTATATTCTCTAAAGATTAAAAAGAAATGCCTATTGTAAAACGGCTGACCTATAACAATTTCACTATATGTAGCACTTGATAAGGATGGCACGTCTCTCCAATCTACTTATTTATGTTTACCAATCGCACAATCCACCATCACTCTAAGTTGTATAATTTCTTTTTTAACTACTTAATTTTTTTTTTAATTTTTAGGCATTTTTTACTCAAATTGGCAACTTAAAATCCCTTTTAACGTGTGATTCAGTGCAAGAGTGAGGGAACTACAATTATTAATTATTTATGAGACGAGGCTGGGATAAAAAAAATACAAGCATTAAAAATAAAAAATAACATAAAAATAACATAAGGTGCAAAAAATAAAAGAAAAACTATCGGTCTTTTAGTTCTAAATAAGCCTTTAAGATGGTATTAATATGATCGTTATTAATGTCATATTTATTAAAAATATTGCACATACTTGTAATTGGAGATCTAACTAAGATGTTTGTTCGACAATATGGATTATAAAAAAACAGTTCATTACGTAATTTAATCCTAGGTATAGACGTATTAAGTTTACTTAGAATATACGGTAATTTAATTTTGTTATTGACTTATTTATACAAAAAGAAGAGGGACGTACAGTTCCTCCTGTCAATAAAAAGTTCCATATCAAATGTATTAATTAATTGTGCATGATTGATTCCTCTTGTAAGATAATGTCCATACGATTTAAAATAAATATATTTTAGACATTTTCTCTGAAAACATTCTATAGTTTGTATGGAATTCTGATAGACAGGTGACCAAATTATACTACAATATTCCAATTTATTTCTAACAAATGTAATGTATAACAATTACCTGTAGGTAGATCTGGTTAAAAATAGCACTTGCTACAGCACGACGTTCTAAGATTTGTAGGAGCAAAACTTGTTCACACCAGAAAATTCCAATATGAACTGATTTTTAGGTTTTACCTGTTGTTGTATGTTATTAGTACCATACTAAATCACAGCCAACTGTGCAAAATAAAATAATTTCAAATATGTGGCGGGAAATATTCCATGGCCCAGTTACCCCCATGGGTCCAGAAACCCCGACAGACCTTACACCTTTTAAGAGTCTCAATAATGATAGAGTAATCAAATAAAGAAGGATAATTTTGACGAGAAAAGAAAACACTTTTACATTTGGAAACATTAAATTGTAAAGAATTGTCCAGACACCAACGGTTGAGGATATCCAAAGCGAGCTGCAAGGTTATGTAGTTATATAGTTTTAAGTCGTCAGCAAAGAAAATATGTAAACGTTCCAAAATAAATGAAAGAGCATGGATAAATATAAGGGACAATAGTAGTCCTAACTTGGATCCTTGTGGTACACCTGAAGTTGCTACATATACTTGTAATTTTAACCCACCTTACTCTACAAATTGAGCACGTCCAATAAAATTTTTGTGTAGCAGAGAAAAGAGTCGGTGATAGTCCCATTCGCGCCAATTTTGTTATCATTAAAAAGTGACCAATTTGATCAAAAGATTTTCTAACATTTGTGTAAATTAAATCTACTTGACCTACTGAGTCGAGAACTTCTGCAGTAAATTGAGTAAACCAAACTAAATTAGTAATTGTAGATTTTTTTTTCATGAAACCCTGTTGCTGTCCACTTATTCTGTTTTGACAGAAGCATAAATAACGTCATACATAATTATTTCAAAAAGTTTAATAAAATTACAAAGGATAGCTATGGGTCTATATTTTAAAATACAAATTGACTCGCCATTTTTAAATACCGGACAAATTTTTGTGGTTTTCCATATTGCTGGGTATGAGTTAGATTTTAGAAATATATTAAAGATAACTGCCAATGGTTTAGGCAAAACTTTTATGCGATTCTTGACGAGGAAGCTCCAAATATCATCACAACCTGATGTTATTTTGTTTTTTAGTTTTTTTGAAGCAAAGTTACATCAAGTTCTGATATACTTTTCAAAATTATATGAGAGTTAATAACTGTATCTGTTGTAATTGAAAGATTAAAAGGGTTATTAGAATGTAAGAAAATGCTGGAAAAAAGTTGCAAAGGCATTTAAGATTGAGGATTATCAAAAACGTTAGACTCATACGTCAAACTTCTCCGTATTCTCGCTTTACCAAGATTTATATTTACGTAAGATCAGAATTTTATTGGATCTTTATGGATCGCATCTTCATTGCTTTGAACATATGCAGCATAAAAAACTTTAATCTGTTACTTGATAGTACTTCTTAAAATACGAAAACGATTATAATATGAAGGTACATTGTAGTGTTTGTAATTCTTTTTAGCTAGATCTTTTGATTTATTATTAATTATAATCTCTTTTGTATACCAAGGTGGATATTTCTGCAAATGGGGTTTAAATACAAGAGTATATTTGGAAATAATACCGTCAGTAACTTCATATAATTTAAAACATGCTTCTTTAACATTATATGACGGGTGTATACAAGACCATTATATATTAAAGAGTTTATTGTACATTGCTGGAAAATTTGCTCGACGAAAGTTTTATCTAGTGTTTTCTCCACATCAAATGAGAATTGTTGTTCATTTACATTAGATAATCCAATTTCAATATTTAGTGCTGGATGACAATATCTTCTTTAACCAACGGTTGCAAATAACGACTTACCCCAATGAGCACACGTACGTTAAAAAAATGTCGAAAAGTGGTTGATAATCAAACGTATAAGAAAAAGTTCAAATGTCGCGAAAAATAACGTTATTCGCAATCACAAATTGCATTTAAAATTAACGTATGTCTGTAGAAGTTTTATGTTACTATTAAGATAATATTAGTATCAAACGTTGAATTTTACATAGTTTGTAACATGAAAAAGAAGAAATATCGGTTGATTTTGAATAAAAAAATGTATTATAATTAATTATACGTTATATTGCAATGGTTTTATTTTCCCGTGTTCTTAACGTTAATATATTACGTATTTTCAAGTGATTGATTAAACTTTTATATGCCAACCAAATAATCTTTTATTACGGAGTTGCCCTTCTGTAAAAAGTTGTTCAATGGTTTTCTTTTCTTCCCTTTCTTTGTGAAGTATTTTTTTAATGTAAATTTTCATTTTGCAGTATTTTGACTTGTTCCTCAAAATCGGTTTTACTTAAAAAAAGTTTTTAAGTAAATAGGTATATTTAACTTCTTATAAATATTTTCTACCTTGTAGTCTGTGTAGAAACAGTTTTAAGTTTCTCAGACGAATTTTCTTGTTCTTTTTTATTTTCAAGTCGGGTCTCAATGGATAGTTCTGTGTGTGCCCCAATAGTAGATATGCATGGTTTTTGTTGACTAAAATAAAAATTCATTTCTTTTATTGACACATAATTGTAAAAAAAAATTAAGTACCAAGTATTTAATTTAGATACTTACAGATCTTTTATTATCTATCTGAACACTTGGTGATTTTTTAAACGAAGAGAAGGTACTGCATCTTTTTTTAAAATCCATTTTTTTTCAGGCAACTTCAACAGTTTACTTCTTAAACAGTAATCACTTTCTAGGAAATGAGTAGAACATATTCTTGCTGTTTTATCATTAAATTTGTGTTGCTAATAACACTTTAGAATCCATTGATGGCAAATTTGTTTGTCTCTTGGAAATCTAAAAAAACGGCAATCCGAAACGTTCTTGCTTTTTTTGTTGTTGTTGTTTGAACAACCCACCACTGCACAGTATACCATAGTAAATGTTTAAAATAATGTTTTTAAATATTAAATATAAAAAGCTTTACGCACATTTAGTTCTAAAACACAACAAACCAATGAAACAAAATTAAATAAATAGTAATACACGCAAAACCGCTTTGCGCCATTTAGAACTGGCTGTTTCTGAGTCGGGTAGTCTCCCAGTGACGTCAGTCGTGAGAGAGAGATGGGCTGATCGCATGCGCGTGGGTTTATCTTCTCGAGTAATAGTATCATGACGTAACAACTACAATTCATAAAGTTTCATTATATCATACGTAGGGCTTACGACTCAGAGAATTGGAACAGTCTGTTTATCGGTGCGCTCTCTCTTAGAGTGTTAAAACGTTTAAATACAATAACGTTTTATATACAATTTATATTTATTTTAAATTAGCGTTAATATTATACGTATATTTAACAAAATTATCGGCTTTTAGTTACATAACAACGTTTAAAAACAATAGTAAAATCAGAGCTGCAGTACTGAATACTTTATATACTTAAAAAAATTACTTGAGTACAAAAAGTACTCAAGTACTGTACTTTAAGTAACTGCAAAAATGCCTGTACTTGTATTTACATTTTAAGTTTTTGACGTTATACTTGTACTTAAACATTAAAATTTGAAATTAAGTACTTTTTTACTTAAAATAGCAAAGAAAGAAGGCAACTAAGTACTTTAAAAGTACTTAAGTACTTATAACATTCTTAAGTATGTCAATGTACTTAAATACCCAGAATGTACTTCAGTACTTCGAAAATTTTAACGCTCCTTTCTAGTTTCAGCAGGATTTTTCTTGTCTTATTACCGATCCAACGCGTCACCATGTCACTTAATAAAAAGCCATCGCAAAAGTCATTTGACAATAAAGTTATAAAATTTGTTATCGACACTATGTCACAAATTTCAATAGTATTCAACACTAGCTTCGTAAATGTATTTGGCAAAATGAACATTAAAGTTCTGGACCGTTCAGCAGCAACAAAAGAAATTGAGAAAATGTATCAGAAAATGTGCCAAATTATTAAATTAGATGTTTCGTAAGTAAATTATGTATGTACTACCGCCGACATATGGTCTTTCAAGAGTCGAAGCTTTATTGGGGTGACATGCCACTGGCTGGATAAAGACCTCAAGCGACACTCAGTGGCATTAGCATGTCAAAGATTTGCGGAAACCCATTCATATGATCAAATTGCGGAGACTTTGGATGACATTCACAAAAAATACAATTTAGATACAATCAAATTACTAGCCTCTGCAACTGACAATGGTTCCAACTTCGTTAAGTGTTTTAAGGAGTTTGGTTTAAACATTGGTAATAAAAAACACTCTACTGAAGAAGACAGTGACTCTGAAGAAAAAGAAGCTGAAGTCATGTTTAATCCTATCAATTTATCAGACTCTGAGTCAACTCTCGACAGTTCTAATTTTACACAGAAAAGATATGTGCCGCAACACATAAGATGTGCCTCACATATCATAAATCTCTTTGCAACTACCCATTACAAAAATTCGGTAAATGGTTTATTGCCTTTGCGACAAAAAAACTCACAAATATTTTCCAAATGTTCTAAGTTATGAAATAAATGCGGACGACCGAAATCGGCTGAGATAATACAAAAAGAACTTGGACATAAGTTAAAAGTTCTTGGAATTACCAAATGGAACTTCACTTATGACGCTGTCGTCCAAATTGTTTCCGTCAAAGAAAAGTTAAGAGTTCTATGTGATAAACTTATGATTCTGGTATTTAAGGAACATCAAATATCCTTTTTAGAGGAATATATCAAATTAATGCAGCCTCTGGCTGAAACATTAGATTTTTTACAGGGAGAGCGTAACACCTATTATGGGTATCTGTTTCTCAGCTTAGTTTGGATAAAAACTAAACTTCAAATGCTGAAAATATCAGGCGATATAAAGCAGCTAAAAGTGCCTTTAGTCGCCATAATTAAGTCTGTTGGGCAAAGATTTAAAGAATTTTTAACCAAAACTGCCGTAATTGGCGCGGTAGTGTGTCCACGATTCAAAATGCGCTGGTATAACGCCTTTAAAGACTTAAATGTTACCACATACAAAGAAATACAAAACTGGGTAGTCTCGGCTGTCGAATACTTTATCAGCCTGGAAAATAAAATAACTAATGAAAATATCCAGTCAGACGATCCTTTTTTTGATTTTGAGAAAGAAGAACAAGAGTCGGTATCTTTGTTGAGTAAACTACCGATACCAAGTATATGACTTCTAACTCCCTAGCTGAATTAGAAGCACTAAAATACCCAAACGACGGTAGAACTAATCTAGACATGCTAAACGATTATCTACTATATAAAAATAAGTCGGGTTTTCCTTCCTGACGCTATAACTCCAGAACGCACGAACCGATTTCCACGGTTTTGCATTCGTTGGAAAGGTCTTGGGCTCCGTGAGGTTTATTGCAAAGAAAATTTAGGAAAAATTTCAACACAAAAGCGGGAAAATCTTTTTTCACATACAGCGCCATCTCTGATACATAGCATGTACTACAAACCAATATTTTAAGTAGATGGCGCCGGCGCGTGATACATTGTTCGACAGCTACTCATTGTTCTCTGCTCAGTTAATTTCATGTGACAAACCGGTATTGTGTTTACTGTGAAATTGTGAAAAAAAAGTAAAAAAAATAAGTTATTCGTTTCCTAACATTTCAATTGGAAACCATCAAATCAATCACGTGTATTGTGCAAATTTTTATTCAATTTCAACAGCAGGCATTTATCTTTAAGTTGGTAAGTTGAACTGTGTAAATTATGTGGATCGTGCATTTGAGGTTAAATTCACCACTCTGTCCATAGTCCAAAATGCCTAGAAGACGACGTGCAAACATCGGCCGCCTCACAAAATATGCAAGCCAGCAACAAGTGTATTCACAGAACTTAAGCGAAGAAAGACAAAATAAAATAAGAGAAAATGCCCGATTGAGACAACGCGTGAGCACACGAAGATCATTGGCATCATCCAACGCTTGGCATTCCAATATGATCCCACTGCGAACTACAGTGATGATGAAAATTTAGATATTGGACCAATGACGACTATATGCCGATATTGCAATGCGTTAAAGTTCAAAAGAGAAACGGCTGGATTGTGCTGCGCAAGTGGAAAAGTCAAACTGGATCCATTACTTACACCACCACAGCCACTGAAACCATTGTTCAATGGAAGTGATCCCGGTTCCAGCCATTTTCTTCCTTTGGAGCTAATATCATTCGAGAAGGCGGCTTCAGGCCGACTTGCAAGGTAAAAGATACAACACACATAACCAATCACTCACACCAACACAATGAATTGCAACACATAACAACTACATATACACCACACACTACACCATCACACGATCAGAAGTTACACCGTATTCTTCAACAAATGATTGTTTGCAATTACAGATACAAGGACAAATATATCATTTGCATGGTTCAATGGTGCCAACACCAGATGAACCGCATCAATTTCTGCAAATATATTTCATTTCGTCGATGGTGGATCAGCTGAATGTGCGGTGCAATATACAGGGAACACAACAGTTGAAGAGACGAATTATTGAACAGTTGCAAGCATTTTTTCACGCTAATAATGCTGTGGTTAATATGTTCAAAACAGCATTGGAACGAATCCTTTTCAAATATAAAACAAAACAAAAATTTTTCTTCATCTTTCAATCACCAAACAAAATGTTACATAAAACGAAGCCATCTGGTGGCGAAACGGAGTTCGCCGGGTTTGCTAGTAGGTATATAAAGTTAGTTTTTATTAAATATAATACGATCCTGCCATCTTCCGCACCAGTCGAAAGACTTTTTTCTTTTGCTGGAATTGTTATTGCGCCACGTAGGCATGCTTTGAGCGACTATAATTTTAAAAAACTAGTCGTTCTTAAAGCAAATGGCAATTATTTAGACTCAAGATCCAAATAGATTTGTTAGTAGTAGTAGTACTGATGTATTTTATAAGTTTTTGTGGTACTCTGTTCTTTTTACTTTCCTGTCTGTATACAGATATAAGGAAAGTATAGGAATCATGATTTTTTTGACCTCGAGTTTTCGACGGATTTTTACGTTTTGAGGTCCCCTAAATCCGTTTTGACTATTTTCGCGATGATGTCTGTGTGTCTGTGTGTCGCATAACTCATAAACCGATACAGAAAAAAACACCAAATTTTAAACTTTAGCTTTGTTCCAGCGTCCAGTGAGCTGATTAGACTTTAAGCAGAGTCGGAAAATCTGGGGGGGTACTTTATGGGTGGTCATTTTTATATTTTATGAAGTATATCTGTTATTTACGTTTAAGAAAGAAAATTCTTCAAATAAAAGTTACTTCTTATATTATTATCTATAATTTTTGTTCCATACAAAATTTTCTTAAAATGGTCCGTATTCGAAAAATTTGACAAAATGTAAATATTTTTTTATAAAAATTTTTCTAATAAAAGTTGTTTTTTTTATCCTATACATAATTTCTCTTAAATGCACCGTATTCGATAAATTTGAGAAAATTGTAAATTTTGAAATTTGAAGAAAACTCAAAAACGGATAAAAAACATTAAATTTTAAACTTAAGTTTTATTTCGGCCTGACGTGCAATGATTAGATTTTTGACAAAGTCGGAACATCTGGGGGGGGGTACTTTATAGGAGGCCGTTTTTATATTTTATGGAATATATCTGTTATTTATGTTCAAATAAAAATTACTTCTAATATTATTATCTATAATTTCTGATTTCTAATTCTGATTTTTATGAAAATTGTTGAACTAACAGTTGTTTGCGATATCGATCTCTATAAGTTTTGTTTTTACATGATTTTTCTAAAATGAACCGTAATGAAAAAATTGTAGGAAATTTAAATTTTTCAGTATTTTTGTTTTCAAGGAATATCTATAGAAAAATGTTTCGAGGTAGATGTATGTGGACAATGTATATATTTAGTTTATACTCTAAACATTTATATAGATGCTGCAATAGGTTGTACAAAATAACCGGAAAAATCCTATGATAACTACATAGGAAAGTCATGTGTTGGACACATCAGATTTTTTTATTTTATTAATAAAGGAATATTTATTTTACCTTGTACTACTATTTTATTTTTAAATTGTACGTAAAATATGAACTGTTTATTAACAAATTCTTTATTACTAATGTCTAATATTACTAATCCCGGTTAGCAATGATATTTTAATTTAAATTGAGCTGACTTAGGTCTTTAAGCTTCACACCAGCATAGATTCTCTATTATTTTTATATACTTAAGTAAACACAAATGTACTTAAGTGTTTTGTAAGTACTTATTTAAACCTAAATATACTTAAGTACATCTGTATATGTACTTAAGTAAACAATGTATTTATCCTACATTGTACTGAAGTATATTTCAGAAGTTAACTACTCTATAAAGTACATAAGTACGTTTTCATGTACTTATGGCTAATGTACTTACATTTTAGGATTTAATTACTAGGTACTTAAAAAACAAATAGATGTAATTGTACTGGTACTGGTACTTACTCGCAATTTTCAAAAGAACTTGTACTTGAGACTTAAGTACATTTTACGGGTACCTACGCAGCTCTGATTAAAATATACTTAAGTAATATTGAAACAACGTAGATATTTAGTTTCCGTTATTTACCAAATATTAAAAGATTCTAACTTAAGTAATTAATATTAAACTTAAGTAATTTATATTAAAACAACGTAGATATTTAGTTTCCATTATTAACCAAATGTTAAAAGGTTCGAATTCAATAACGTTTTCCAAGACTTGCATTTAATTTAAACTAACGTTGACATTATATGTATATTTAACAAAATTATTAACTTTTAGTTATATAACAACGTTTAAAAATAATATTACCATATATAAATAATAAACATTAAAATAAAGTTAATTTTTAGTTTAAAATATAAGGATACAACAAACATTTTTATTACGACTTCTATGTAATTTAAACTAACGATAATATTACATTAAATTTTTACCTTTCGGTAGAACTACAAATGTAAAACAACGTTAAAAAAATAACAGGAGTTTAGCTAACAAGAGTTTAATTTTTAACTGGTTGTACTTAAAGTACAAATATCATTTTTAAAATTATGTTTAAAAATAACCGATGATTATACAACGAGGTTCACAGTGTAAACCAAAATTTCATTTTAACTGCCTATTGTATGGCGTACTTTAAATGAATTATATTTTTTAAACATATTTGTTAATAATATATCGAATTATTTATTTAATTAAATTTCAAAACGCAAGTATAAAAATTGTATTTATTCCAGTCCTGTTCTCCTTTAAACTGTTAAAGTAATACAAATAACAAAGTTTTTATAGTGCCATCTGTGAAATTACCTGAAACTTCATACTGTACAGATTCCTACAATCTTTGGTTAGAGCAAATACCATCTTTGATCTGCGTTGTCTCTAGCCTATTAAGTCAATTAATAATTAGCTTTTATTTAAAACCAAGCTTTCAGGAAACCAAACATTATTTTGAAGTGCGATTTGTTTCATTTATTTGATATGGTAGTTGTATGGGTGGTAACGAGAAGAAAACGTCTAAATATGTTTAGTTTTAAAGTAAATACGTTGACAAGTCGAGGGTTTCTATGTGGTTTTGACATTAAGAATCAAAGTCATTTTTCGAGTATTTTTAAAAAACTCTGCTTCTTTAGATTTCTTTACAACCTGTAGGCATAATTTATGAACTTATTTCTATATTTAAATAAATGCTACGAAGTATACTTTTCTCGAAAGTTTCGTCAAAAGTAACCTCTGCATATGGGTGATCGCCAGGCTCAATGATCGAAATTTACACTATGGAATTGATTTTAAGATTTTTTTCTTACTTCATAACTGACCACGTTTGAGATAATGGATAATAATTGTAACAGTTGTAAAACATATCGTCCATCTCAAAAACTATCTGTTTGTTCACTTTTAGTGGCTTATCTATCACAGGACAGTTCGGTGCAAAGCACCGAGGTCCCAGAAATATTTTGGACCCCGCAGGGTCTTTCTAATAATGATATAATTATTTTATTTTATCTTAATTCGTAAATATTTTAAAAATTCATGTAATTGAAAGTAAAAATTATAGCAAAAATTACAAATGGTTCTTAGTGGAGATTCTTGGAGACTATTTTTATTTCTGTTGAATTTTGTTCCTTTAAAAATTAATAATTTATTTTTTATTTCTGCACAGAA